AATAAAGTAACTGAACTGTTCCTGAATTGTCCCGCTAAGTTTCTTGGGCTGAACCTGACAGAAACACTGAGATATGTATTGGACCTGACCACAGTAGGCAGATGTTCTCTTGCGCTTGGGTTCATTTTTGCCTACAATAAAGTATATCTGCTAGCTGAGTTGTATTCAAGAGTCTAGTGCCAAATGAGCCAATTCCAAAATAATGAGTTGAGACCCTGGAAGGCCTAGATTTACAGCCGTGACAGGATGAAACATGACAAGCATATGTTTCATGCCTTAAAGTTCCTGGTTCAATCCTTGAAATGTCTAGGTATACCTGAGAACTTTAGCTGAATATCTGGAAAGGTTCTGCCAGTCAATTTAGACATATGAATTAACAGATATTACATATAATAGCTTGTCTGGATAAAATAGATTCTTTGCTCCAGTTAGATTAATGCTGGGATGTGCAAAACTCACCAATTTGGAAATGGAATACTCTAGAGAATATTCTAATTTCTTTCCCATTCCAACCATACCAAACCTCCTCCCAGATCATGGAATTAAATAGTCTGAACTGGAAGCAAATCCAAGACACCTTGAACTTCTTCCAGTTAGGGTTAATTTATTCCAGAAATTGCTAAACTGTCTCTAGAACACATGGCTGTGGATGAGGGGAATGAAATTTTCCAAAGTTATCCAAATCATGATATTTCTATATTTATAATTAGTGCAGTGCAGTACCTTCATTCTTCTTTCCATAGGTTTTCAAAACAATGGGTGTGATCATTATGTGACATTTATTTATTGAAATACAGTTAGTTGGATTTGCACAACATGCTAAACCATGAACTATGGATCATGAACTACAATTACTATAGTGGCACACATACTAAGCCAAGATCAAATAAATCATATTTTGGCTTAAAATAATGTGTAAGTTAAACAACTGAGTAAATTACAACTGTAGTTAAAAACGGGGGGGGGGGGCAAAGTTTTGTTTAAAAGGGGCTCCATAAGAGTGCAACTCTAAGACCTGTAAGACCATAAGTTTTTCAGTAGAAGTCAAACACTACATTGAACTCTCATTATTTAAACCCAAATAGCATGGATATTTTATATTGTCAAAAGGATTCCCAAGATGAAAAAAAACAGGCAGTCGGATAATTGGAAGTATTATACAATGGTAATGGAAATTTTTACATACACTGATTTTGCTTTTGTGTGTGTGTGTATTAGATCATATGTCATTTAATTTGATTGTTGTCCTTTTTCTAGATAATAAACTATACTGTACTTAAATAATCAAGGGATAATTATTTTATTTATCCCATTTATATAGCTGCCCATCTCACATAAAGTAACTTCCATGGAAGTACCTCCCCCTACCCAAATTAACAAACAAATCATGCTGATTTTTACTTACTGAGACTACTGAAACATCTGCCTTCCTCCTGAATTCCACAACACATCAGTCTTCCAGGATCATTAATTCAGACACTTCAAACTCTGAAAAAAGACAAAAATAGCAATGATTCAGAAATGGACATGTTTAGTCATATTACTCTATAATATGACAAATCAAAAAGCTAACCAGAACTAAATCTCAATAAAATACATTAAAATTATCACTTTTATAAAGGTTAATTTACTAATACACTATATTGGACATCTTTATTACTAATGAATATATCTTAACCACCAAAAGTATATTTTGTATTGAAATGTCCAGAAGTGAAAGCTGAAAAGTCTAGAGATGGCAAGTTCAGAAGCAACAGACTGAGAGAGACTGATCTATTACATTATCACTGTAAAGGTTTCAACCACTACTTCCATGAGAAACTAGTGGCTCTCAGTTTATTGCAGTGCAGGGGCGGGATAAACAGATTTGACCTATGGAGCCAATATCTATCTATCTATCTATCTATCTATCTATCTATCTATCTATCTATCTATCTATCTATCTATCTATCTATGTCTGTCTGTCTGTCCGTTCGTCCGCCCACCCGCCCACCCGCCCATTGTATGGCAATGGTTTCCCATTCCTCCATCTGTCATTTGTTTTGATCTTGATATTTAGTGTTGACTTCTCCTGCTGGGCAAAGTGTGAGAGAAAAGAGGCTCTGACAGTACCACAAGGGAAAAGGAGATGGCTACTGAGGCTCCTTGTAAGTGGGCAGAGAACAGCTCTACACAGTCTTTCAAGATTCTGTTATTCTGACATACAGCAGTTGAGAGCATTCGTAGAATCCCTGTCATGCCTGCTTCTTCCTTGCCTATCTCTAAATTCTGAGAGGGGGACTATAACCCCAGCTAGATAGTGAGTGAGTGAGTGAGTGAGTGAGTGAGTGTGAGAGAGAGAGAGAGAGAGAGAGAGAGAGAGAGAGAGAGAGAGAGAGAG